TGATACGACTGAGGTGTGTTTGGTGGGAATGGAACTTGTTGCTGCATTGCCCGAGCAGCCGACTGGTGCGTGGTAGTCGGCGACATGGGTGGTGATGCGATGGACTGCTTAGGGTTTCTGGGTAACGGCGATCCGAGTGGCCTGTCCGTGGGTCGGGGGCTGGAAGGTAGACCTGGACTCATGAGTGGGGATGCGACGCTCCGGTTAGCCATCATAGAACTATCGGAGTTTGCAGGACTAAGAAGAGCATTCAGAGAGTTGGCTGGCGGGTGACGGGGAGAGAGTGGAAGGCCCGATTGCAGCGCATTGAACTGACGCGGCGAAAGGGGAACCGGGACCGCCTGAGGCTGATCGCCTGCTGGTGTTTCAGAAGGCGTCGCTTGTTTGCTCTTGCTTTCGCTTTTCTTCTTCTTCGACTTGCTTCGAGCTTCCTCATCTTTCGAATACATGGCCTCACGGACCCTGTCATCTTCCTCTCGAGTCTTTCTCCTTCCTCGCAGCTCCACGACAGGTATCTCATCCACCTCCAGTATATCGTCGTAATCAGAGTCGACATCGTCGCCATGCACGGCCCGGTGGAGATGTGCGCTGGTCGTTGTGGGTTTCGACAGGTTGAGTGGAGCTGGCGGTGCCTTTCGCAGAGGCTGCGGAGTCTTTCTTGGGGGTGATTCAAAGCCATCGCCGCCGACGACAGGCGTAGCTTGGATCAGCGATATCTGCGGAGGCTGGAGCTGTGAGCTACCCGGGACGAGCGTCACGTCTGAGGTGTTCTGGGGAGGAGTGGCTGGCTTCGGGGCTTGCGCTGGGGGTTGAGCAGCATCGCCGGGCTGCAGCAAGGTAGAGTCGAGGCCGAGGCCCCTGCTACCAAGGCTAAGGGGTTGCACGGAGTAGTCTGTAGGTGAGTTTACGGCTGACGAGATGTTGGATGCCGTGGAATGAGACGGCGACGTCGCTAGCTGTGAGTCTGGGATGAGATGCGGTGCGGGGTGCTCTTGCGTCAGGGGCGATGTCTTGTGCTCGGTGGCTTTGGTGTCGCTGGGCCGAGCGGCGTCACCAGGTTGCTCACCGAGGGCTGGCGACTGGCTGGTCTCGCGTTCCACGACCGAGTCGAACGTGTCGGACTTTTGCAGCGAGCCGGGGCCGGGTGGCAGCTGCTCAGCGTACTCCTTGAACTTTCTGCGGTAGCGGTCCTTGTCCTTCAGTGCGCGCTCGAGGTCTTTCTGGAGCCCGATGATCATGGACCGTTGCTTCTCCACCAGCCGCCAGAGCTGCGCGTTGTGGCTGGAGGTGTTCTGCTTGTCCTTCCACAGGGCCAGCATGGCGGCCTCGGGTGAGCCTGCAGCGGCCATCAGACTGGCCATGTCTGGGGGGTTGGCGGTGCTCGTGTCCTGCGACGGCCGGGGCGCATGGCTGGCGGGCGGGCGGTTCTGCGAGGCCGTCGACGACAGCGAGGATGCGGCCGAGTCTATCGAGGGGTTGCGGACTGGCACCGTCGGCCTCGTGTCTGGCCGGTTCGGGCGTGATGGTGGAGGCATGGTGACGGGCGAGGCTGGCGGGGAAATGCCAGCCGAAGACAGCGTGGGAGACGACAGCTGGCGGAGTCTGGCATACGCAGACGGCCGCGACGACTGCGCGAAGCTCGGGGTGGGGACGGTGGGTGGTGTAGGCGGGTGCGCTGGCTGGGTTGGGCGAATGGGCGAGGTATGCTGTTGCTCCTCCGCCAGCAATGCGTCGAGCTTCTCGCGCGGACTGCGCGGTTCGTCGAGGCGTGGTGAGTCGCGGTAGCCCGGCTGCTGGCACGGGGGGCCGCTATTACCAGTCGAATACAGCGGGCTTGGGACGGGTTTGCGACGTGCTCGGGGCGGGTGTTGCTCGTCCGCCGTGGCCGGCACGTTGTGCGAGCGCGTCGAGTCGTCGCGAAGGCTGCGAATACTGTCCGCGAGCGACGGCGCGGAGAGAGAGTGCAAGGGCGACGGCGGCTGGTGCTGAAGGATGTGATGTGCCGCCGTCCTTTCCTGAAGCATGTGCATGTCTGTATTCGTCGCCGCCATGTTCAAGGCTCAAACGGGCTAGCGGACGACCGGGATATCTGGTCGACGGTATAGCAGACGGCCAGCGGGGATTAGTGTTTCGGCGACGCTCTGAGTGTCTGGTGAATCCAAAGCTGCCACGCTCAGCAGTCTCGTCAGCATCTGGCGTCCCGCGCAGCTTGAGACAAGTCTCCGTCAGAAGGAGCAGCCGGAACAGAAGAGATTTGGGCTTGTCGCCTGCCGGCTTCTCATTCGGCGCCATAACCGCCCTTGTAGGAGCCGGGCCAAAGTCAAGCCTGGTTCCTGCAGCAGAAGCGAGCCCTGTAGGCCGTCGTCTCCATCATCGCCTCCGCACGCCTTGATGGCTGCGTCCCCTCACGTTTTAGATATGCCCAAACCCGTCTGCATCCCCGTCGACCACCTGCCCGCGTAGGCGCCAGAAAGCTACTTTGGCTTTTCCATTGGCGCACACCTGTGGCTTGCTAGCCGTAATCAACTACGAGCCACCATCCACCGCCCCTCTTGTGCAGAACGAGATGTGCGCGTGGTCTGCTGTCGCTGGTGCCCGCAGGCAAGCTGACAACAGCCTGACAAGCCAAAAGGTGCGAAATGCCCACCTATTGGCTACAGCCCAGATGATTTGGCATGCGAGCCCAGAGAGTGTATTGATTCGGCGGCGCGATAATCTGCGACTCATGGCAGACTCGAGAGCAATCCGCCAGCCGTCTGGCCGTCGATTGGATGGTCGCGGTAATAATGTCTCTTGCGCACGGAGGCGTTCGAGTTGAAGGGCTGCCGGCTGGGTCGCTGCAGCACGAAGGATTTGCCAGGCCGAATCGGGGCTAGACCCGTCGATCACTTGGCACTCGTAGATGCAGCAGCTCCGAACTCCCAGAGACAACCACCGCATGCCGTCCATCACCATGAGTGCCCAACCATCCGCTCTGCACCGCGGCTGAATGCTCGAGTATGCTGACGGCCGATACATGCCGCTTGGAACGCATATCAGAATCATACGATTCCTACTGACCTGCGATTACATCTGAAACTCATCCGCCGTCAAGCGAAGTGTACTGCAGGGAGCCGCTGATAGCTCCACGACTAAACCGTAACCGTCGCCACATGGTGATCACGAGCTGCACCTAGGCTGCGCAACGAACCCAAGGCCCAGACTAATAATTCCTCTTTGCAATGCTCTGTCAGGGGTAATTTGGATGATTGAGGCCGAGAAACGTCTTTTGTTTTTTCTGTCTCTGCGCTAGTACCCACCGCAAGCCGTGGAAATGAGGTGCGACATTGCAGCGGACATCATCACTCGGGCGAGTAAAGATGCGGCATGAACAGCCTCCTTGATGGTCCAGCACCCACATCCTTCGACCGCACGCATTCCCTCCACAGATGCAGGGTGAACCTGAGGCAGACGCTACCCCAAAGACATGGCAAGCATAACTCGGAACAGTTGTTTCCATGCGAGTTGGGTCAAGCCGCAAGCCTCTCTCACGTCTAATTATACATCGCATATCCAGCTCCGAGGGGCAACACCGAAGTATTATGATCTTCGTGATTGCAAATACGAGCTTTGCTGCGTTGAACAGGACAAATCACCAACGTCTAAATTGACAAGACTGCATCAACAGGAGCACGGACATTACATCTCTGGTAATATGCGGAACTTACGGTGAAAGGAAAGCTATCCTCATTTGCAAATGGTAGTCTTTCATCAATGCATGCGCATACCTGTGAGAGCTCCGTCCGGAATGTAAGCTCCCGTTGGACCGCTAACCGCCGCCTGGACCTACAGTTCCCGCCATCAAATGTGGAGGAAGTATAGATCGGAGAGTGAAGTGGCGCCAAGATGGAGGCCAATAACGCCTCATCGGAACCTTGTGATGGTTTGCGCCATGGGACAGCTACTGCGTGGGTAAACCCAGTATGGAGAACCCTTGCTCAATGAACAAACGCCTACCATCATGCCCTCAAGACGTTCCAGTTCCCATTCGCTACATCTGCGTACATCCACAGGTATGTTGCTTTGGAAATTACGAGGAAAGCGATGCACGCAGATACAGTGAGAACATGGACGGGTTCTGCCTGTCCAAGAAGAAGAAACCGCATGGTGTAGCGTTCGAGGCTAATTCACGGGAGGCAATGCGTACCGAGCGAACGCAAAGTCAAAGCCAATTTCTGAGCAGGGAACAATGTGGACGCTTGAATAACTTTCGAAAATAGCTATCATGGAAGATAATATCGTCATTGTTGCCTCGGCGTTTGCAAACCACTTGCTTCATAACGTACTGTTCGAAACAGTGAGCAGCCGTCAATCAGCATTACGAAACCGTGTGTTGAGTGGCATACTGTCCATTGAACTCGAGTCCCGAGTTGTCAAGCGAATTCGCGAGCATTTTCACATTCCCCACAGTTTTTGATCCATGTCAGGATGACCGGACCCAAAACAGACATGTGCTTCAATATTCAGATTGTTAATTCCCATAGCTACAGGACACCTGGCTGTCACCAAGCAGCTGCTACTCTGTTATACAAAATCATAGGTGTAATTTATCTATCGATCCTGACATCCTTCACACTGACCTTGATAGCTTCGTATCCGATGCTGGGCAACTGGGGTAGCGATCAGTTCGACTTGTCAACTTCCAAATGAGTTGCACTAATGGACTTCATCGGCAAAGAAGAGTTTGAGGCCGGGTGAAGGTCTGCACAACTACACTGTCTCTGAATCACAGATCGCGTTTTCGATGCAGAGACAGTGAGACAAGGCTCCGCATTGCTGGACTCCGTTGTAACACTGTCGAAGCATCGGCTCACCTCCAATGGATATACTAAGAAAAAGCGTCCGATATACTCAATGTAGTTGTGTCGTTAATCCATGTTTTCCTTCTAACTGCGTCTTGTAGACACGGGTCTATGCCTGCGCACCATACAGTATAATACACTCGTAGGCTTTCGTACTCCTTACAGCCCCACTCTTCCACTACCGCCTCGCTCCATCTTGTTCAACCGTCGCGCAGTAGCAATCTGCGATTGTTAGCCCATTGACCCACCAAGACCACAGCCACTCTCCTAGGGCCAAACCTACCTGTGTCCTTGTCTTCTGGCCCCTCACGGGCAAGCCCATAGCGTGTCTCCTTCCACGATATGTGCCCATATCCCTCAATCTCCGGATGTCGTCCTGCACTTGCCGCCGTAAATCGTTCTCAATTTTCATGTTGGCCAGTTCCGCGGTCAGATCCATGACGGTGGCGTTTTTCAAGCTGCCGACTTTCGCCCACGGGTGGATGTAGAATTTCGCCATAATGCGCTGCGAGACCGAGGGCCCGATGCCAAAGAAAGATTCGAGGGATCGCTTCACGAGCGTCGCTTCTGTGAAGCTGAAGCCGTTGATGAACACCTAAACCGTCAGTAAGACGCGCGCAAGGGGAAATGGGCGTTCCAGTCGCGTACCATGGCGGGTCAGCGTTCCGACGGCGAGTTCGCGTGTTGGAGTGTCAATTGTCGTGTCTGATCTCGAACTCCAGACTTCCGTTTCCCGCTAGACCCAGCCGGCGCTAGTGCGACAGTGCGGGCAATGGCTCTACCTAGGTAAAACGCAACGTTTCAACACCTCCTCCACCATCGCATTCCGCAGGGGGCTGTCCAAACTACTTAACCTTGCGACTTCCCTCGATTGTTTCCCGACACAATCAGGCACCATGGCTACCATCCAGAGAGCTGTCATTTCGCTCCTCTTGATCCTCTCGATCACTTTCGTCTTCTTTGCTCAGAGCACCGAGGCTGCAAAGGGTCCAAAGATCACTCACAAGGTGTGTATAGCTTTCAATCGGATGAATAGACGGACTTGCTGACTATATTCAGGTCTACTTCGACGTTACCCACGGCGATGAAGAGCTAGGCCGCATCACCATCGGTCTCTACGGCAAGACCGTCCCCAAGACCGCTGAGAACTTCCGGTACGAACGGATACAAGTCTACGCATAATTCTGGGGGCTGACATAGACTACAGTGCTCTCGCTACTGGCGAGAAGGGATTCGGTTACGAAGGCTCTACTTTCCACCGCGTTATCAACAACTTCATGATCCAGGGTGGTGGTAAGTCCGACTCATGCCCGGGTCTAGGATTCACAATGCTGATCAACCGCTAGACTTTACCAAAGGCGATGGTACAGGAGGTAAATCGATCTATGGAGAGAAGTTCCCCGACGAGAACTTCAAGCTCAAGCACACCCGCAAGGGTCTCCTCAGCATGGCCAATGCTGGCAAAGATACCAACGGTGAGTACCCTTCCCCTTCACTCCCTGCAGCATGCACTGACTATCCTAGGCTCTCAGTTCTTCATCACCACCGTCATCACCAGCTGGCTCGATGGCCGCCACGTCGTGTTCGGAGAGGTCCTCGAGGGCTACGAGGTCGTGGAGAAGATTGAGAACGTGAAGAAGGGTGCTGGAGACAAGCCGGTCCAGACTGTCAAGATCGCCAAGAGCGGAGAGCTCGAGGTGCCAGAGGAAGGTATTCACGCGGAACTCTAGACATCAGTACGCATTCTTTGCTATTGAGTCGACCCCTCAGGTTGGAGAGCTGCTGATAGTTGTACCTTTTTCTTCAAGATTTATACGGTCATGCTGAACCAGCCATTCCTGGCGACGAACTCGATATCACAGCGACTCAGTCTCACGACGATATCGTCAACATTGCTGAGGTATCCCAGGCCTCTTCCACCAAGGGCAAAATTCCTGGCCTGGCTGCTGCTGCTGGTTCTGCTGATGGTTTGTCGGTCGGTCAGAAGCTTTTCTTTATCGGGGCTGTCGTTGCGATTTGCGTGCTCTTCTTGAAAACGCGAAATGGAGGGCAAAGCAACATTATGGGTGGGTTCAAGGAGAAGAGCATGGCCTAGATTACGACGAAATGCAGAAACGTTCCTTTAGTAGAGCATTGATCTGATACATGGTGAACATGGCTCTCTAATGTGTCAAGACGCTAGCTAGGGTAGAGGGGATACGATGTCCTTGCAGTCCCTGCATTACCCGCCGATGACGATGTGCAACGGTCAGGGCACGTCCAGGGTAAAAGCAAAGAAGACAATGTTGGGTTATCTAAAGCCATGGCACAGTCGCACAGGATGGCCTGGAGCCTGCACAAGAACCTAGAAAGGCCGCCACTACATTCAACTGCGGCCATGTCACAGTGCATGTCGCATGAAAAGCAAGCCTGCTGCAGCACACGACAGCTTCCATCTGTGACGTTCACCGCTCCCCACTCGCCACAGCCTGAGAACTCTGAGAGGGAGCGCTAGCGCCAACGGGGACTAGTGCGGGAAGGGTTCTCCGACACGCTTTTTTAACTTACCTGCGGCCGTCTCCCTCTTCCCTAACCACCCACCCTCCAAAACTACTCTGTGTGTATTGCACAACCTTACAAGCTCTTTTCCTGTGAAGTCCTTTCTTTTGGTCTTCACTTCTTTACTTCTCGTTTTCAGGACAGAGGCGTTCCCTTCTTTCCTGACAGAACGAGTCTCAGGCACCCGCCTGCGAGTTACGAGTTTCGTCACTTAGACCTGCTACTTTTCGTCTGTCGCTCACCGCCGAGCCAGCCGAAGCCAGCACATCTGTAATTTGCGCCCTGCACATTGCACTCCCAAACACACCCTCAACCAACTCGATTCCACCACGCCCATCATGGCTGAACAACTCGACATGGGTCGTCTCAACATCAACGACTCCCAGCACAACCCCCAGAACGGCTTCAACGGCGAGCGTTCTGCCTACATCCCCCCTCACCTTCGCGGCCGTCCCCAGGGCGGTCCCGGAGGCCCTGCACCCATGGACGGCCCGCCCCCGATGATGAACGGCGGCGGTCTCGGCGGCAGCGCGTGGGGCCCCGGAGGGTCAGTCAACACCCAGGACACAAAACTGGAAGGTATGCTAACTGGTGACAGTCAGGGTCCTCCCCCTCAGATGAACGGCGGCGGCGGTGCCGGTGGCTGGGCCAACGCACCCAACTTCACTCCCCGCGGTCGCGACGGTCCCCCAGGCGGTGGATGGGGCGGTGCCCCTCGCGGTAACTTTGACCCCAACGCCTACGGCAAGCCCGGCGGCGGTGGCTCTGGAGGCGCCCGCGGGTCTGGCGACGGTGCCTGGAAGGACGGCAAGCACGTTCCCGGCCCGCCCAACCAGCGCCTCGAGCGCGACCTCTTCGGTATGCCCAACGACCCTTCCAAGCAACAGACCGGTATCAACTTCGAGAAGTACGATGACATCCCCGTCGAGGCCTCTGGTCAGGGTGTCCCCGAACCCGTCACACGTTTCACAAACCCGCCTCTCGATGACCACCTGCTGAGCAACATCGAGCTCTCCGGATACAAGGTTCCCACTCCTGTACAGAAGTACTCCATCCCCATCGTCATGGGTGGCCGTGATCTCATGGCTTGTGCCCAGACTGGTTCCGGAAAGACTGGTGGTTTCCTCTTCCCCATTCTCGCCCAGGCCTTCCAGAATGGCCCCTCTCCTCCTCCCGCACAGGCTCAGGGTGGATACGGACGTCAACGCAAGGCTTACCCCACTTCGCTCGTCCTTGCTCCTACCCGTGAGTTGGTCTCCCAGATCTTCGACGAAGCCCGCAAGTTCGCATACCGCTCCTGGGTCCGTCCTTGCGTCGTCTACGGTGGTGCCGACATTGGCTCTCAGCTTCGCCAGATTGAGCGCGGCTGCGATCTTCTCGTTGCTACCCCCGGTCGTCTCGTTGACCTGATCGAGCGTGGCCGTATCTCCCTCGCTAGCATCAAGTACCTTGTTCTCGACGAGGCTGACCGCATGTTGGACATGGGTTTCGAGCCTCAGATTCGCCGTATCGTTGAGGGTGAGGACATGCCTCCTACCGCTGCCCGCCAGACACTCATGTTTTCGGCCACCTTCCCCCGCGATATCCAGATGCTCGCCCGCGACTTCTTGAAGGACTACATTTTCCTTTCGGTCGGTCGTGTCGGTTCCACTTCTGAGAACATCACCCAGAAGATTGAGTACGTCGAGGACGGCGACAAGCGCTCTGTTCTCCTTGATATTCTCCACACACACGGTGCTGGTCTCACCCTGATCTTCGTCGAGACGAAGCGTATGGCCGACTCGCTGTCCGACTTCCTCATCAACCAGGGCTTCCCCGCCACCTCCATTCACGGTGATCGCACTCAGCGCGAGCGTGAGAAGGCTCTGGAGATGTTCCGAACTGGACGTTGCCCAATTCTTGTCGCCACTGCTGTTGCAGCTCGAGGACTTGACATCCCGAACGTGGTACGTATCCCCCTACTCCTCACTTCCTGCTATTCACTGACGTTTTTCAGACGCATGTAGTCAACTATGACCTTCCTACCGACATTGACGATTATGTTCATCGAATCGGTCGTACTGGACGAGCTGGAAACACTGGTATTGCCACTGCTTTCTTCAACCGCGGCAATCGCGGAGTCGTACGCGATCTCCTTGACCTGTTGAAGGAGGCCAACCAAGAGGTCCCTAGCTTCCTCGAGTCCATTGCTCGCGAGGGCTCCGGCTTCGGTGGAGGTCGTGGTGGCCGTGGAGGCGGCCGTGGCCGTGGCAACGCTGCTACCCGTGACGTTCGTCGCATGGGCGGTGGTGGTTTCGGTGGCGGTGGCGGTGGCCAGTGGGGAGGTGCTCCTCAAGGTGGCTACGGAGGTGGCTTCGGCGGTGCTCCCGGCGGTGGCTACGCTCCTCCAGCTCCCGGCGGCTACGGTGGTGGCGGCGGCGGCTTTGGTGGAGGCTACGGCAACCCATCCGGCCCTGGCGGCAACTCTTGGTGGTAAACGTGCAACGCACCGCTTCACGATATAGCCAGCCCGGGACACATTTTCTTCTCTACGATACCCTGGGCCTTCGTGTCGCCGCTACCGATGGCTTGCTTTCGATTTCCTTCACTTGCGAATGTTTTCTGCGAATCTTTCCCGGTTACCGCGGATCGATGCGGAAATCTGGAATCTCATACCCCAATCAGCATATAGACAGCGACTGTTTTTTTGCGGATCTGCCTGTTTTCGAGCTCTTCTCGCATACGATACCCTTCGACGCACTCTTGTCGAGCTCGAACATAGATGGCAGGACCCTCGTCTTTCTCGCAAAGGCATGCATTACGAACATTTCACGACTTCGCTCTTCTGCAAGCATGCTGCTTGGGGAGCTATAGATTCTCGCTTTCCGAGTCTTCCACACGCGGATGACCTCTCTGAGCATTTCCTTATCTTACGACAAAAGCGGTTCCTTTTTTCCCGGTCATACCCCTCGACGACAACGT